GTGAGTGGATGGGTGAGTGAGTGGTGAATGGGTGGGTGAGGTGAGTGGTGAATGGGTGGGTGAGGGGATGGGTGAGTGAGTGGATGGGTGGGTGAGTCGTGAGTGGATGGGTGAGTGGTGAATGGATGAGTGAGTGGATGGGTGAGGTGAGTGGTGAGTGGGTGAGGTGAGTGGTGAATGGGTGAGTGGGTGGGTGGGTGAGGTGAGTGGTGAATGGGTGGGTGAGTGAGTGGTGAGTGGATGGGTGAGTGAGTGGTGAGTGGATGGGTGAGTGGATGGGTGAGTGAGAGTGAGTGAGTGGATGGGTGAGTGAGTGGTGAATGGGTGGGTGAGGTGAGTGGTGAATGGGTGGGTGAGGGGATGGGTGAGTGAGTGGATGGGTGGGTGAGTCGTGAGTGGATGGGTGAGTGGTGAATGGATGAGTGAGTGGATGGGTGAGGTGAGTGGTGAGTGGGTGAGGTGAGTGGTGAATGGGTGAGTGGGTAGGTGAGGTGAGTGGTGAATGGGTGGGTGAGTGAGTGGTGAGTGGATGGGTGAGTGAGTGGTGAGTGGATGGGTGAGTGGATGGGTGAGTGAGAGTGAGTGAGTGGATGGGTGAGTGAGTGGTGAATGGGTGGGTGAGGTGAGTGGTGAATGGGTGGGTGAGGGGATGGGTGAGTGAGTGGATGGGTGGGTGAGTCGTGAGTGGATGGGTGAGTGGTGAATGGATGAGTGAGTGGATGGGTGAGGTGAGTGGTGAGTGGGTGAGGTGAGTGGTGAATGGGTGGGTGAGTGAGTGGTGATTGGATGGGTGAGGTGAGTGGGTGAGGTGAGTGGATGGGTGAGGTGAGTGGTGAATGGGTGGGTGAGGTGAGTGAGTGGCACAGGAGGCTGCCCGCTACGACGAAGGCGGCGCATGCGGAGGAAGGCTCAACAGCCTGGGCTAGGCCTCGACTAGAGCCAAGCCTGGGCTAGGCCTCCAATAGAACCTAGCCTGGGTTAGGCCTCGAATAGATATAGGCCTGGGCAAAGCCTAGACTAGAACTAGGTCTGGGCTAGGCCTCCACTAGAACCAGGCCTGGGCAAAGCCTCGACTAGAACCAGGCCTGGGCTAGGCCTCGACTAGAACCAGGCCTGGGCAATGCTTTGACTAGAACCAGGCCTGGTCAAGGCCTCGACTAGAACCAGGCCTGGACTAGGCCTCGACTAGAACCATGCCTGAGCAAAGCCTCGACTAGATCCAGGCCTGGACTAGGCCTCACCTAGAACCAGGCCAGAGCAAGGCCTGACTAGATCCAGGCCTCTCGTATCCTAGGTTGAGCCTGAACTAGGCCGCACATATCCTAAGTTGAGCCTCAATCAGGCCTCGACGAGAACCAGGCCTGAGCAATGCCTCGACTATAACCAGGCCTGGTCAAGGCCTCGACTAGAACCAGGCCTGGACTAGACCTCGACTAGAACCAGGCCTGGACTAGGCCTCGACTAGATCCAGGCCTGGGCTAGCGCTCGACTAGAACCAGGCCTGGGCTATGCCTCCACTACGACCAAGCCTGGGCTAGGCCTCGACTAGAAAGAACCCTGGGCTAGGCCTCCATTAGAACCAAGCCTGGGCTAGGCCTCCATTAGAACCAAGCCTGGGCTAGGCCTCGACTAGAATGGACGCTGGGCTAGTCCTCCACTACAACCAGCCTGGGTTAGGCCTCGAAAAGATCTAGGCCTGGGCAAAGCCTCGACTAGAACCAGGCCTGGGCTAGGCCTCGCCTGGATCCAGGCCTGGGCAAGGCCTCGCCTAGATCCAGGCCTGGGTAAGGCCTCGACTAGAACCAGGAGTGGACTAGGTCTCGACTAGACCCAGACCTGGGTAAGGCCTCGACTAGAACCAGGCCTGGGCAAGGCCTCATCTAGAACCAGGCCTGGGAAATGCCTGACTAGATCCAGGCCTCTCGTATCCTAGGCAGAGCCTGAACTAGGCCGCACATATCCTAAGTTGAGCCTGAATGAGGCCTCGATTATGCTGGGTGAGTGAGTGGGTGAATGGGTGAGTGAGTGGCTTGGTGAGTGGGTTAGGTGAGTGAGTGGGTGGGTGGTGAGTGGGTGAATGGGTGAGAGAGTGGGTGAATGGTTGGGTGAGTGAGTGGGTGAGTGGTGAGTGAGTGGGTGGGTGGTGAGTGAGTGGGTGAGTGAGTGAGTGAGTGGATTGGTGAGTGGGTTGTTGAGTGGGTGGGTGAATGAATGGGTGAGTGAGTGGGTTAGTGGCTGGGCTGGTGGCTTAGTGGGTGAGTGAGTGGGTGGGTTTGTGGGTAAGTGAGTGAGTGAGTCGATGAGTGAGTGGGTGGGGTATTGGGTGAGTGAGGTGCTTCTGCTACTCGCTACTAACAGCACTTGCCCCAACAGTCTGCGAAAGGCTACAGGTGGGAGCTTTGGGTGAGTCTGTGAGTGAGTCTGGGTGAGTCTGTGAGTGAGTCTGTGGGTGAGTCTGTGAGTCTGTGGGTGAGTCTGTGAGTGAGTCTGTGGCTGAGTTAAGTGAGTCTGAGTGAGTCTGGGTGAGTCTGTGAGTGATTCTTTGGGTAATGTTCAGATGTAAATAAACAAATAAAGCATTTGCATTCAGTTTACAAATGTCTGGTTGGTTTTGTGTGAGGGTGGGTGGGTGAGTGAGTGAGTGGGTAGGTGCGTGGGTGGGTGGGTGAGTGAGTGAGTGGGTAGGTGCGTTGGTGGGTGGGTGGGTGAGTGAGTGGGTAGGTGCGTGGGTGGGTGGGTGGGTGAGTGAGTGGGTGAGTGGGTGGGTGAGTGAGTGGGTGAGTGAGTGAGTGGGTGGTTGAGTGGGTGAGTGAGAGTTTGCTTTGTGGCGATTTGAGCCACACATCCACGCAGCATAGAGGGCACCGTTAACTCTCAACAACACCCGCGACTGTTACTCTGCTCTGTAGAATCAGTCACATGGAGCAGATGAACTCTCCACAGTGCCACGCACACACGGGCGAGAAGCCATTCCATTGTTCTGTGTGTGTGAAGGCATTTTCACGGAAATCAACTCTTAGCAGACACCAGAAAATTCACACGGGCGAGAAGCCATTCAATTGCTCTGTGTGTGGGAAGGCATTTGCACAGAAATCACATCTTCAGAGTCACCAGAAAACACACACGGGTGATAAGCCATTCAATTGCTCTGTGTGTGGGAAGGCATTTGCACATAAATCACATCTTCAGAGTCACCAGAAAACACACACGGGCGAGAAGCCATTCAAGTGTTCTGTGTGTGGGAAGGAATTTGCACGGAAAACAATTCTTCACAGTCACCAGAAAACTCACACGGGCGAGAAGCCATTCACTTGTTCTGCGTGTGGGAAGGCATTTGCATGGAAATCAAATCTTCACAGTCACCAGAAAACTCACACGGGATGCCTGGATGTAGTGGAGGTAATGAGTCCTGGCAACAATTACTCTTTCGACCTCATGCAGGTGGATGCTGAGAAATCGCTGCTGGAGTGGCTGGAGGGTCAAAGTTTTGAGGACTTCTGTTAACTCTTGAAGTCCTGGAATGTGCATGTTTGTGTCTCTGTTAGATCAATCGATAAGGTACACATTATTACTTCCGTGATTTCCAGTACTCCAAGCTAGAGCGATGTTGTGAATGCTCTATGATGTGTTGGAATAAAAAAGAATTCCTTTTAAGCTTCAGAAGTGTTCACTTATTTCAGGATGACAACAATTTTATACTTCCATAGATGCGCTGCTTCGTCTGGTGGTTGTATCATCGGCACTGTTAAATGTGTGGTGTTTGTGGTAGAAGGTGCCACGTGTTGTCATCTTCTCACAGCTACTTGAGTGTTGTAGTTTATTCTAGACTTCGTCACGTTAAGGTGGTGCTTTGTAGTCATATCGGATTACTTGTTGATGTGGTGTGATTCACAGTGGTTGTGAGGTGGTCCAATTCCTGATTTTACTCTCGTGACTAAGTGGCCTTGTTGAGCTAAAGTTGGAGATAGACTGTGATCATAACGTTGCCCTATATTTTTAACAATTTCTTTAATTTTCTTTATTGTTTGATTAAAAAAAACTTCTTCAAAGTGTCGGTTTCAGAATGTGCATTCGTTGTTCCTCTGTTTGATGGCTTGGACTTGTGGACGAATGGCTTCAGTCGATAAGGACGTCAATTGGGAAGGATTAAGACGTTCACGTGTTTGATTTTTAGAATATTTTATGACTGTTGAATTAATGAAAGTTAAATAATTTTCATAGTTCCTTAACTGTTTGAAAAAGCGAATTAATAAAGATTAATAAAGACCTGATTTGTGTTCTTAAAGATGACTGATCGTACATTATTGCTACCATTTCCTTCCTTAAAAAGAATATGGACAAGTAGCCATGCACACACGAGTGTGTATCCTAACACGACTGTATATATATACAGCGGTGTGCATTCACGCACGAGTGTGCATATACAGGGGTGTACATGCATACTTTTAGATGACTACACAAAGTTTATGACGGAAATTATAACATAACATCCTCGTTTTCTAGAAACACCTCGCTCAACACGAGTGTCCTTCAATATATTTATGAAACAAAGTCAGTACACTGTAAATTTGCACCTCGTTGTCCAAATCAAACTGGACAACAGCATTTTGATTCTTTAGACTATATGTCGTTGTTTAATCCTTTAAACTTGCAGCAGTGTAGAGGACATTGCGGGGTGAATATTAGCAAATCAACAGGAAGCACGGAATTATGCATGGAGATGTACATCTTAATTCAAACGGAAGTGTACAATTATGCAGTGGGATGTACATACTTATTAAGGTTTAAGTACAATGTGCCAGAATAGCTAAGCTTTGTTGATTTATATGCGGATTGTAAATGTTACAAATCTACAATTGAATGCAAAGTCCATGATAGGCCAAGTCGAGAACAAAGGATTTGGATGCTAGAGGGGAGTTATAAGGGGCTTAAAATCTGACGTCAAGATCATTTGGAGAGGAATTTTCCTGAGGATAGACGCTCGACTCATCGCACTGCAGATTTCCCTTCTCCTGCGAGACTCAGCCTGGCGAGCACGATTGCTTGGCGACTGGTTGGCGACTTTGCTTCGGGAGAGTTCGTGGCGATCTCTTTAGACGGGTTACAGGGTCATCGATACGCCGTGCATCAACAAGTAACTGTCTTTGTTAGTGGATAATCTGGTAATCGCGTGTGTAGTCCGACTTACGAGACGTTACTTTGTCTCGGTTGGACGTTCGTGAGAGTTTGCTTTTTGGCGATTTGAGCCAACACATCCACGCAGCATAGAGGGCACCGTTATCTCTCAACAACACCCGCGACTTTTACTCTGCTCTGTAGAATCTGTCACATGGAGCAGATTAACTCTAAACCGTGCCACGCATACACGGGCGAGAAGCCGTTCAATTGCTCTGTGTGTGGGAAGGCATTTGCACAGAAATCAAATCTTAACACTCACAAGAAAATACACACGGGCGAGAAGCCATTCAAGTGCTCTGTGTGTGGGAAGGCATTTGCATAGAAATCAAATCTTAACACTCACAAGAAAATACACACTGGTGAGAAGCCATTCAAGTGCTCTGTGTGTGGGAAGGCATTTGCACAGAAATCAAATCTTAACACTCACAAGAAAATACACACGGGCGAGAAGCCATTCAAGTGCTCTGTGTGTGGGAAGGCATTTGCACAGAAATCAAATCTTAATACTCACAAGAAAATACACACTGGTGAGAAGTCATTCAAGTGCTCTGTGTGTAGGAAGGCATTTGCACAGAAATCAAATCTTAACAGACACCAGAAAACACACTGGTGAGAAGCCATTCAAGTGCTCTGTGTGTGGGAAGGCATTTGCATAGAAATCAAATCTTAACACTCACAAGAAAATACACACGGGTGAGAAGCCATTCAATTGCTCTGTGTGTGGGAAGTCATTTGCACGGAAAACAACTCTTAACAGACACCAGAAAACACACACGGGTGAGAAGCCATTCAATTGTTTTCCGTTGGAGAGGACACGGTCATCACCCCGAAACAAGCATGCGAAGATCTGCAATGAGAGTGAAGTGAAATCAAAAGGTGTAATGCATCTGTCGACCCTATTCAGGTGGATCCTGAGAGATGCCTGGATGTAGTGGATGTAATGACTCCTGGCAACAATTCCTCTTTCGACCTCATGCAGTTAGATCCTGAGAGACTGCTGGATGTAATGAGCCCTGGCAACAATTCCTCTTTCGACCCCATGCAGGTGAATACTGAGAAATGGCTGCTGGAGTGGCTGGAAGATCAAAGTTTTGAGGACTTCTGTTAACTCTTGAAGTCCTGGAATGTGCATGATTGTGTCTCTGTTAGCCATTCCATTGTTCTGTGGGTGTGAAGGCATTTTCACGGAAATCAACTCTTAGCAGACACCAGAAAACACACACGGGCGAGAAGCCGTTCAAGTGTTCTGTGTGTGGGAAGGCATTTGCACATAAATCACATCTTCAGAGTCACCAGAAAACACACACGGGCGAGAAGCCATTCAAGTGTTCTGTGTGTGGGAAGGAATTTGCACGGAAAACAATTCTTCACAGTCACCAGAAAACTCACACGGGCGAGAAGCCATTCACTTGTTCTGCGTGTGGGAAGGCATTTGCATGGAAATCAAATCTTCACAGTCACCAGAAAACTCACACGGGATGCCTGGATGTAGTGGAGGTAATGAGTCCTGGCAACAATTACTCTTTCGACCTCATGCAGGTGGATGCTGAGAAATCGCTGCTGGAGTGGCTGGAGGGTCAAAGTTTTGAGGACTTCTGTTAACTCTTGAAGTCCTGGAATGTGCATGTTTGTGTCTCTGTTAGATCAATCGATAAGGTACACATTATTACTTCCGTGATTTCCAGTACTCCAAGCTAGAGCGATGTTGTGAATGCTCTATGATGTGTTGGAATAAAAAAGAATTCCTTTTAAGCTTCAGAAGTGTTCACTTATTTCAGGATGACAACAATTTTATACTTCCATAGATGCGCTGCTTCGTCTGGTGGTTGTATCATCGGCACTGTTAAATGTGTGGTGTTTGTGGTAGAAGGTGCCACGTGTTGTCATCTTCTCACAGCTACTTGAGTGTTGTAGTTTATTCTAGACTTCGTCACGTTAAGGTGGTGCTTTGTAGTCATATCGGATTACTTGTTGATGTGGTGTGATTCACAGTGGTTGTGAGGTGGTCCAATTCCCGATTTTACTCTCGTGACTAAGTGGCCTTGTTGAGCTAAAGTTGGAGATAGACTGTGATCATAACGTTGCCCTATATTTTTAACAATTTCTTTAATTTTCTTTATTGTTTGATTAAAAAAAACTTCTTCAAAGTGTCGGTTTCAGAATGTGCATTCGTTGTTCCTCTGTTTGATGGCTTGGACTTGTGGACGAATGGCTTCAGTCGATAAGGACGTCAATTGGGAAGGATTAAGACGTTCACGTGTTTGATTTTTAGAATATTTTATGACTGTTGAATTAATGAAAGTTAAATAATTTTCATAGTTCCTTAACTGTTTGAAAAAGCGAATTAATAAAGATTAATAAAGACCTGATTTGTGTTCTTAAAGATGACTGATCGTACATTATTGCTACCATTTCCTTCCTTAAAAAGAATATGGACAAGTAGCCATGCACACACGAGTGTGTATCCTAACACGACTGTATATATATACAGCGGTGTGCATTCACGCACGAGTGTGCATATACAGGGGTGTACATGCATACTTTTAGATGACTACTCAAAGTTTATGACGGAAATTATAACATAACATCCTCGTTTTCTAGAAACACCTCGCTCAACACGAGTGTCCTTCAATATATTTATGAAACAAAGTCAGTACACTGTAAATTTGCACCTCGTTGTCCAAATCAAACTGGACAACAGCATTTTGATTCTTTAGACTATATGTCGTTGTTTAATCCTTTAAACTTGCAGCAGTGTAGAGGACATTGCGGGGTGAATATTAGCAAATCAACAGGAAGCACGGAATTATGCATGGAGATGTACATCTTAATTCAAACGGAAGTGTACAATTATGCAGTGGGATGTACATACTTATTAAGGTTTAAGTACAATGTGCCAGAATAGCTAAGCTTTGTTGATTTATATGCGGATTGTAAATGTTACAAATCTACAATTGAATGCAAAGTCCATGATAGGCCAAGTCGAGAACAAAGGATTTGGATGCTAGAGGGGAGTTATAAGGGGCTTAAAATCTGACGTCAAGATCATTTGGAGAGGAATTTTCCTGAGGATAGACGCTCGACTCATCGCACTGCAGATTTCCCTTCTCCTGCGAGACTCAGCCTGGCGAGCACGATTGCTTGGCGACTGGTTGGCGACTTTGCTTCGGGAGAGTTCGTGGCGATCTCTTTAGACGGGTTACAGGGTCATCGATACGCCGTGCATCAACAAGTAACTGTCTTTGTTAGTGGATAATCTGGTAATCGCGTGTGTAGTCCGACTTACGAGACGTTACTTTGTCTCGGTTGGACGTTCGTGAGAGTTTGCTTTTTGGCGATTTGAGCCAACACATCCACGCAGCATAGAGGGCACCGTTATCTCTCAACAACACCCGCGACTTTTACTCTGCTCTGTAGAATCTGTCACATGGAGCAGATTAACTCTAAACCGTGCCACGCATACACGGGCGAGAAGCCGTTCAATTGCTCTGTGTGTGGGAAGGCATTTGCACAGAAATCAAATCTTAACACTCACAAGAAAATACACACGGGCGAGAAGCCATTCAAGTGCTCTGTGTGTGGGAAGGCATTTGCATAGAAATCAAATCTTAACACTCACAAGAAAATACACACTGGTGAGAAGCCATTCAAGTGCTCTGTGTGTGGGAAGGCATTTGCACAGAAATCAAATCTTAACACTCACAAGAAAATACACACGGGTGAGAAGCCATTCAAGTGCTCTGTGTGTGGGAAGGCATTTGCACAGAAATCAAATCTTAATACTCACAAGAAAATACACACTGGTGAGAAGTCATTCAAGTGCTCTGTGTGTAGGAAGGCATTTGCACAGAAATCAAATCTTAACAGACACCAGAAAACACACTGGTGAGAAGCCATTCAAGTGCTCTGTGTGTGGGAAGGCATTTGCATAGAAATCAAATCTTAACACTCACAAGAAAATACACACGGGTGAGAAGCCATTCAATTGCTCTGTGTGTGGGAAGTCATTTGCACGGAAAACAACTCTTAACAGACACCAGAAAACACACACGGGTGAGAAGCCATTCAATTGTTTTCCGTTGGAGAGGACACGGTCATCACCCCGAAACAAGCATGCGAAGATCTGCAATGAGAGTGAAGTGAAATCAAAAGGTGTAATGCATCTGTCGACCCTATTCAGGTGGATCCTGAGAGATGCCTGGATGTAGTGGATGTAATGACTCCTGGCAACAATTCCTCTTTCGACCTCATGCAGTTAGATCCTGAGAGACTGCTGGATGTAATGAGCCCTGGCAACAATTCCTCTTTCGACCCAATGCAGGTGAATACTGAGAAATGGCTGCTGGAGTGGCTGGAAGATCAAAGTTTTGAGGACTTCTGTTAACTCTTGAAGTCCTGGAATGTGCATGATTGTGTCTCTGTTAGCCATTCCATTGTTCTGTGGGTGTGAAGGCATTTTCACGGAAATCAACTCTTAGCAGACACCAGAAAACACACACGGGCGAGAAGCCGTTCAAGTGTTCTGTGTGTGGGAAGGCATTTGCACGGAAAACAATTCTTCACAGTCACCAGACAACTCACACGGGCGAGAAGCCATTCACTTGCTCTGCGTGTGGGAAGGCATTTGCATGGAAATCAAATCTTCACAGTCACCAGAAAACTCACACGGGATGCCTGGATGTAGTGGAGGTAATGAGTCCTGGCAACAATTACTCTTTCGACCTCATGCAGGTGGATGCTGAGAAATCGCTGCTGGAGTGGCTGGAGGGTCAAAGTTTTGAGGACTTCTGTTAACTCTTGAAGTCCTGGAATGTGCATGTTTGTGTCTTTGTTAGATCAATAGATAAGGTACACATGATTACTTCCGTGATTTCCAGTACTCCAAGCTAGAGCGATGTTGTGAATGCTCTATGATGTGTTGGGATAAAAAGGAATTCCTTTTAAGCTCCAGAAGTGTTCACTTATTTCAGGATGACAACAATTTTATACTTCCATAGATGCGTTGCTTCGTCTGGTGGTTGTATCATCGGCACTGTTAAATGTGTTGTGTTTATGGTAGAAGGTGCCACGTGTTGTCATCTTCTCACAGCTACTTGAGTGTTGAAGTTCCTTCTAGACTTCGTCACGTTAAGGTGGTGCTTTGTAGTCAAATCGGATTACTTGTTGATGTGGTGTGATGCACAGTGATTGTGAGGTGGTCCAATTCCTGATTTTACTGTCGTGACTAAGTGGCCTTGTTGAGCTAAAGTTGGAGAAAGACTGTGATCATAACGTTGCCCTATATTTTAAACATTTTTCTTTAATTTTCTTTATTGTTCGACTAGAACCAGTCCTGGGCTAGGCCTCGACTAGAAACAGGCCAGAGCAAGGTCTCGACTAGAACCAGGCCTGGGCTAGGCCTCGACTAGCACCAGGTCTGGGCAATGCCTCAACTGGAACCAGGCCTGGTCATGGCCTCGTCTAGAACCAGGCCTGGACTAGGCCTCGACTAGTACCAAGCCTGGGCAAGGCCTCGACTAGAACTAGGCCTGGGCAATTCTTTGACTAGAACCAGGCCTGGTCAAGGCCTCGACTAGAACCAGGCCTGGGCAAGGCCTCGACTAGAGCCAGGCCTGGGCAAGGCCTCGACTAGATCCAGGCCTGGACTCGGCCTCACCTAGAACCAGGTCAGGGCAAGGCCTGACTAGTTCCAGGCCTCTCGTTTCCTAGGCTGAGCCTGAACTAGGCTGCACATATCCTAAGTTGAGCCTGAATCAGGCCTCGACTAGAACCAGGCCTCGGCAATGCCTCGACTAGAACCAGCCCTGGGCTAGGCCTCGACTAGAAACAGGCTAGAGCAAGGTCTCGACTAGAACCAGGCCTTGGCTAGGCCTCGACTAGAACCAGGCCTGGGAAATGCCTCAACTGGAACCTGTCCTGGCCAAGGCCTCGTCTAGAACCAGGCCTGGACTAGGCCTCGACTAGTTCCAAGCCTGGGCAAGGCCTCGACTAGAACCAGGCCTGGGCAATTCTTTGACTACAACCAGGCCTGGTCAAGGCCTCGACTAGAACCAGGCCTGGGCAAGGCCTCGACTAGATCCAGGCCTGGACTAGGCCTCACCTAGAACCAGGTCAAGGCAAGGCCTGACTAGATCCAGGCCTCTCGTATCCTAGGCTGAGCCTGAACTAGGCTGCACATATCCTAAGTTGAGCCTGAATCAGGCCTCGACTAGAACCAGGCCTCGGCAATGCCTCGACTAGAACCAGCCCTGGGCTAGGCCTCGACTAGAAACAGGCTAGAGCAAGGTCTCGACTAGAACCAGGCCTTGGCTAGGCCTCGACTAGAACCAGGCCTGGGAAATGCCTCAACTGGAACCTGTCCTGGCCAAGGCCTCGTCTAGAACCAGGCCTGGACTAGGCCTCGACTAGTTCCAAGCCTGGGCAAGGCCTCGACTAGAACCAGGCCTGGGCAATTCTTTGACTACAACCAGGCCTGGTCAAGGCCTCGACTAGAACCAGGCCTGGGCAAGGCCTCGACTAGATCCATGCCTGGACTAGGCCTCACCTAGAACCAGGTCAAGGCAAGGCCTGACTAGATCCAGGCCTCTCGTATCCTAGGCTGAGCCTGAACTAGGCTGCACATATCCTAAGTTGAGCCTGAATCAGGCCTCGACTAGAACCAGGCCTCGGCAATGCCTCGACAAGAACCAGGCCTCGGCAAGGCTTCGACTAGAACTAGGCCTGGGCAATGCTTTGACTAGAACCAGGGCTGGGCAAGGCCTCGACTAGATCCAGGCCTGGGCTAGGCCTCGACTAGAACCAGGCCTAGGCTAGGCCTCGACTAGAACCAGGCCTCGACTAGATTCAGGCCTGGGCAAGGCCTCATCTAGAACCAGGCCTGGGAAATGCCTGACTAGATCCAGGCCTCTCGTATCCTAGGCTGAGCCTGAACTAGGCCGCACATATCCTAAGTTGAGCCTGAATGAGGCCTAGATTATGCTGGGTGAGTGAGTGGGTGGGTGGTGAGTGGGTGGGAGAGTGGGTGAATGGGTGGGTGAGTGAGTGGGTGAGTGGTGAGTGAGTGGGGTGGTGAGTGAGTGGGTGAATGGGTGAGAGAGTGGGTGAATGGGTGGGTGAGTGGGTGGGTGAGTGAGTGGGTGAGTGGTGAGTGAGTGGGTTGGTGAGTGGGTTGTTGAGTGGGTGGGTGAATGAATGGGTGAGTGAGTGGGTAAGTGGCTGGGCTGGTGGCTTAGTGGGTGAGTGAGTGGGTGGGTTTGTGGGTAAGTGAGTGAGTGAGTCGATGAGTGAGTGGGTGGGGTATTGGGTGAGTGAGGTGCTGCTGCTACTCGCTACTAACAGCACTTGCCCCAACAGTCTGCGAAAGGCTACAGGTGGGAGCTTTGGGTGAGTCTGTGAGTGAGTCTGGGTGAGTCTGTGAGTGAGTCTGTGGGTGAGTCTGTGAGTGACTCTGTGGGTGAGTCTGTGAGTGAGTCTGTGGCTGAGTTAAGTGAGTCTGAGTGAGTCTGGGTGAGTCTGTGAGTGATTCTTTGGGTTATGATCAGATGTAAATACACAAATAAAGCATTTGCATTCAGTTTACAAGTGTCTGGTTGGTTTTGTGTGAGGGTGGGTGGGTGAGTGAGTGGGTAGGTGCGTGGGTGGGTGGGTGAGTGAGTGGGTGGTTGAGTGGGTGGTTGAGTGGGTGAGTGAGTTTGTGAGTGGGTGAATCACTGGGTGAGTGGGTGGGTGATTAAGTGGGTGGGTGGGTGAGTGAGTGGGTGGGTGAGTGGGTGAGTGAGTGGGTGGGTGAGTGAGTGGGTGGGTGAGTGGGTGAGTGTGTGGGTGGGTGCGTGGGTGGGTGAGTGAGTTGGTGAGTGAGTGAATGAGTGGCGAGTGGGTGAGGTGAGTGGGTGCATGGGAGGGTGAGTGAGTGATGAGTGGGTGAATGAGTGAGTGTGTGATGAGTGATTGTGAGTGGTGAGTGTGTGTGATTGAGTATGTAACTCTAGGCCTCGACTAGAACCAGGCCTGGGCAAGTCCTCATTTAGAACCAGGCCTGGGAAATGCCTGACTAGATCCAGGCCTCTCGTATCCTAGGCTGAGCCTGAACTAGGCCGCACATATCCTAAGTTGAGCCTGAATGAGGCCTCGATTATGCTGGGTGAGTGAGTGGGTGGGTGGTGAGTGGGTGAATGGGTGGGAGAGTGGGTGAATGGGTGGGTGAGTGAGTGGGTGAGTGGTGAGTGAGTGGGT